ATGCAGAAAAAGGATTGGACGTGAAATGTAACATTCCTCTATCCTTTAACCATTGGGAGAATTCTTTAGACATGAACTCACATCCCCTATCTGTCATAATTTGCTTTATTCTGATATTATGTTGTGTTTCTATACGTTTGTAGAATTCCTTAAATTTCTGAAATGTTTCATCCTTGTGCTTTAATGTGTAAACAAAACCATATCGGCTGTAGTCATCCACTATAGTTAGGAAGTAACGTTTTCTATAGGTAATTGAGGGACTTAGTGGACCAACTAAGTCCATATGTACCAAATCAAAAATATTGTTAGTTGATCTGTTAGATTTTTTTGTCTGGGACTGGTTTTTAGTTTGGTGGACTTACATACTGAGCATTCCAAATAATTTTCACAATTTTTTATTTTGACACCTTCTGCGTGTTCAGTCATTTTTTGTACTACAGGAAAGCTTGCATGTCCTAACTTCCTGTGTAAGATGTGAGCACACTCATCATGAATTGGTTTACCTATTTTTGGTTTCTTTTCCTTGTATGTATTTTTGTGATCATGAGTTATTCTACACTCATCATTGTCACTGTTACTGACATTTTCATCATCTGCTTCAATACAATCTTCCATATTTGAATCAATGTTATGTAAACATCTTTCTTTAGTTATCAGATAGGGTAGACCTCCTTTTATCATTACAGTACCTACATTTGTTTTGTTCTTTTCTATAGTTGCTTTCCCCTTTGAGAAAACTATATTGATATCAGATTCTCTGCTTAATTTTATGGCACTTAGTATGTTGTGAGGTATTTCTGGGATTAATAATACCCCCTCTATTTTCCCTAGACCAGGCAAGGTCACATTTCCTTTGCCTAGTACTTGAACCTTTTCTTGATTAGCTACCTTTATCACAAACTTATCTTCTATAAATGAAGATAATATACTTTTGTTGTTGGTGGTGTGATTTGTTGCACCAGAATCAATAAGCCAATTGTTATTCTCATCCTGCTGTGTTCTGGTGCTGTCTTGTTTATTTAGCCCATTCAGTGACCCAGATTTCCTCTCTTTTGAATTTTCTCTACCCCCTCTACCTTCTTTGTAATTTGGTGGGCTTCTATATTTGTGTCTATCTGTGGAAGATTGTCTGTAATTATATTTGCTCCTATATTCTGGTCTATGTCTCTCTCTTGAGACTTTGGGGCAGTCTCTTCTACTATGTTCCCTGGATCCACAATTGTAGCATCTAAAGACCTCATTATGTTTATCTTGAAAGACTACTTTCCTAAAAGGTTTGTGGTCTGTTTGGTTACTGGATCGATTTTTTCTTGAATTGTCTTCTGCTATCAATTTGTTAGATAGACTTTCTATGGATAAATATCCCAGATTAATGGTATCTAAGTGTGACATAAAGTTATCCCATGATGGATCAAGTGAATTGATAATAACACTTTTCATTGTTTGATCTGAAATCACTTCCCCCCTCAATTGTAGCTCAGCTCTTATTTTGTTTAGATTTATCAAATGCTCACTTATAGAAATCCCTGGTTTTACTCTAGAGGAAAAGAAATCCTTAGACATTCTTGTGGTTGTAGCTACGCTATCGCTGTGAAATAGATTAAACATGCATTGAATTATTTCTGATACAGTTAGGTTTGGTTTGATGCTATGATACATTGCAGGAGACACGCTAGATATTATTATGAAAAATGCTCTATGATGTAAACAATCTATTTTTAAAGTCCAAGGTCTTCTTGGAGGGCTAGTTATAAAGAATAGTAAATTTTCTTTCATGAAAATAACCTGAAGCTGTTGATACCACTCTTGTAAATTAATGCCATCAATTCTAAGTTTTGGGAAGTCACTGGGTAAGTTACCTACATTATTCTGTCCATTACTTACAACCTGGGGCAGTCCGTGATCTCTCAAGTGCAGGAAATTACAGAACGGCATTGGGATGCTTGCAATGAGTCTGCGCGGTTCTCTGGCCAGTTCAAGTCCTTCTGGGTCGTCTACGTAGTTTCGCACATGCGCGTTGTTCATTTCTTCTTTGGTGGCGTCGTGGAAGGTTCTATCCCTTTCAGCTCTCTCGATCCGCTCCTCCTCAGATGAGTCGGTCTCTGGCTCGGTTTTTGGGGTTCTGGTGGTGGTGACGGTTCTTTTCTTCCTTTTGTGTGCGTTGGTATTCGATTTTGTCTGTGGTGTAGGGCGAAATCGGCATGGCTCTCTGGGCTTGGGCGTCGTCGCTTTCGAAGTCAGGATGGGGAGCGTGCAGGTCTTGAGTCGCCGGTTTGATTTCTTGCTTCTTCGTAGATGTCTTGGTAATTTTCAGTCTTGGCCCAAAAGCAGCAAAAAAGCGTTTTCATTGCTGATTTTACTTGAGATTTTGTTAAATCGTCTTCACTTTCTGATTTTGGATCATCTGAAGAGTTTGAGACTTCTTTCTCACTTTCTTCGTCTGATAGTGTTTTTTTCGCGCCAGAAATTTTGAACTGAGCGTTTTGATTGGCTCTGCTCCATTCTCTTTTGAAGTTCGTTGAAACCAAGATGGCTGCCATTCAAAATTTCGCGCGGGATCACATCTTTTCTTTTTAACAACTATTTTCTCAGTAGTCATCTCACTTACGATTTTTTGATCTTTGGGTTTTTCTTTAATGACGTTTTTCTCTCTCGCTGCTCCGCTGTTCTTCAGCATCTCCTGGAGGTCCGCGATGAGACTTTCATCATTCTTTTGGCTTTTTAGTATCTTTAATATCTCTGACCTGAGTTCGTTATTTTCTATTTCGATTTCTTTCTGGTCATTATTTTCACTCATTAGTTCTTCTTCTTCAGTGGTGTATTCTTCGGATTCTCTCGAAATCGCATTGGTGGATTCGTTGATCATCTCTTGATCAGTTTCTATTTCTTTGCTGTAGGCCCTGGTGTTGGGCCTATCTTTCTTGGACATTTTTAATTACTTATTGAGTCAATTAACCATCCTCTGCTACCAGCTTGTTGCAATATTTTCAGGATCAGACTCAATAAAGATAATAGAAGTTAAAGCTTTAAATATATTTCTTTTTAATTATGATAGGCATTCTATATTCACTGAATATTCAAGGTAGAAGCAACGAGAATGGTGAGGGTGGCTCCTTATATATACAAGGGGTGGAGCTAGGAATGGGAGTGGTAAGTTATGAATACATTAAAGTCCAAAGAATAAGTTAACCTCTGATGTTCCATATATACATTATTTACACATTGGAGAATAAGGCATTTACATCTGACATATATATATATTCCAATCCTTGTGATATTCAAGATATAAATTGGCCCCCACATGGCTCTTTGAATAGAAATCAATGGATTAAGGGCATTCTCAGATAATGGATTAAACCATGGAGGAACCATTGGGGTAAATGCATCCTATAGATATTATAGAACACACAAATATTTTCACCATCTGAAGAGCATGATGATGTTATTCCTTCTGATGTTCCTGATGCACAAAGTAGCTACTTTGAGCTGCCCTGCAAGTGAAGCTTTCCCTGTTCCACATGAGTGGTACCAGCCTGGTGAGCTTGTCATTGGTGGGATGGTGTCTCACATTTTTTACCACTTTTATGAAATTGAATTTAAGGAACACCCTTCTCTAAAACCGTATGACTTACCTCTGTAAGGATTTTTATTCTTCCCATGCTTTTTCTTCTCTTAGCCAGGTCCTCCCAAAATTGCTGATCTCGGTAAAAGCTTTTTAGAATAAATGTATATGTATATAAATATACTAAGCCTTCTTTGTGTTTCAAATGTATTGTATTGTGGGGAGAAGAAATCATTTTCTTTACATTATATTAAAGTCCTTCTCATGAAAGGCATGAAAGTTTGGGGCAAGATATCTACTGAAGGACATTTAACGAGCTTGAGGTAATTTTGAAAAAGGTTCTGCGTGATCACCCCTCACAAAACATACATACAGTAGGTGATACTTGCTGAAGATATTCCTATTCTACTTAGTGCCAAAATTGTTAAAATTATATTCGTTAACTTAAAAAAGGTCACTGCTTTTATTTCTTGCAGTATATTGTTGTTGTTAGTTGCAAAGTCGTGTCCAACCCATCGTGACCCCATGGACAATGTTCCTCCAGGCCTTCCTGTCCTCTACCATCCTCTGGAGTCCATTTAATTTCACACCAAGTACTTCAATGACTCCATCCAGCCACCTCATTCTCTGTCATCCCCTTCTTCTTTTCTCCTCAATCTTTCCCAGCATTAGGTTCTTCTCCAGTGAGTCCTTTCTTCTCATTAGGTGGCCAAAGTATTTGAGTTTCATCTTCAGGATCTGGCCTTCTAAAGAGCAATCAGGGTTGATCTCCTCTAGGACTGACCGGTTTGATCCCTTGCAATCCAAGGGACTCGCAGAAGTCTTCTCCAGCACCAGAGTTCAAAGTTCTCAATTCTTTGGCACTCAGCCTTTCTTATGGCCCAACTTTCACAGCCATACATTGCAACTACGAAAACCATTGCCTTGACTGTACGCACTTTTGTTTGTCTCTGCTTTTTAGAATGCTGTCTAGATTTGTCATAGCTTTCCTCCCCAGGAGCAAGCATCTTTTAATTTCTTGGCTGCAGTCCCCATCTGCAGCGAACTTGGAGCCCAGGAAAATAAAATCTGTCACTACCTCCATTTCTTCCCCATCTATTTGCCAGGATGGTAGTATATAATTGCTGCTAATCATGAAAACCACCATGTCAAATATAAAATTGAACTCTGTGGAAATTATTGACTATTTTAGAAAGGCTGTTCTATTCCTACTTCCAAGAGAGATTGTTGGTTATTCATGTAGAAATGATGCAACCTTACAAGAATTGCAGAATTGTTTTTTCAATGGGTTATTTAATTTATTTGTAGCGTCATAACCAAATTCTATCAACACGTCCTTGCCTTGGCCTTTGCTGTGAAGGAGCTCAATGAAGACTCCCAGATCTTACCTAACGTCACTCTTGGGTTCCACATCTATGACAGTTACTACAATCCAAGGATGACCTATCGCACCACTCTGGACCTGCTCTTCAAATCCCAAGAATTTGTCCCTAACTACAGATGTGATAGCCAGAAGAATCTCATGGCCATCATTGGAGGATTGGATGCTCCTACTTCATCCTACATGATGCAAACTATAAATATTTTCAAGATTCCACAGGTAATTTTGGCAGGTGTCTGAAAAAGATCATTTGACTTCATTTGTAATGAATATCAGAGATCAGGGTTTTGTTGCTGTGCCTTTCTGCAGAACTTCAATTAAATCCACTTTCTTTTCTCCCTTCTGCAATTTCCCCCACAATCCAATAGGCTGCCTCAAAATAATCCAACAGGAAAATCAAAATCTTTCATTTGATAGATTAGAAAAGTAAAATTTAAATCTTAAACTACAGTACAAAATTAATCTTATTTGAGAGCGTCATTTCACCACTACCGGTGGTGAAATCGGAAGCTGTGTTGAGAGAAGGAGTGAAAAGGCTGCCTAGCACACACTACACCAGAGGTCTGCAACCTTAAACACTCAAAGAGCCATTTGGACCCATTTCCCACAGAAAAGAAAATACTGGGAACCACAAAACCCTTCCCGTGCCTGACTATTTCTTGAGGGGCCACAAAACTGGCATATGTAGTTGGATTAAACATTCTGTTTTCTTCTGAAACTTTTCTTTCCTTGGATTTATCCATGGTTGGCCTACCCGGGGTTGAAAAGCTCAATAAATCGTGTGCCGTTGGAGGACACACATTGGTGGTTGTGACACATATTTTGATTGACAGGGAGCCGCAGCAGAGGGGTGAAAGAGCCACATGCACATACATCAGAGGTCTGCAACCTTAAACACTCAAAGAGCCATTTTACCCATTTCCCACAGAAAAGAAAACACCGGGAACCACAAAACCCTTCCTGTACCTGTCTATTTCTTGAGCAGCCACAAAACTAGCATATGTAGTTGGATTAAACATTCTGTTTTCTTCTGAAACTTTTCTTTTCTTGGATTTATCCATGGTTGGCCTACCCAGGTTGAAAAGCTCAATAAATCGCGTGCCGGTGGGTGTCACACATTGGTGGTTGTGATACATATTTTGATTGATAGGGAGCTGCAGCAGAGGGGTGAAAGAGCCACATGCGGCTCCAGAGCCACAAGTTGCTGACCCCTACACTACACAATTACTATGTAAGCTCTGCACAGTTTTAGGGAGTATCTCCTTCCAGCCACTTCCTGCCCATTCTCAACTTAAAGCTAGCCAGCATTTTCACTGCTGCCCTCAACTCAGTTCCTGATTCCAACTTGCCACCCAACAATATGTGAGACAACTGTCTTTGCTATGTTTGGGTTGGTGTCCAATAATAATAACAATATAAAATTTAACTGATTTGCCTGAACATTGTTGAAGGATTAGAAGTATGTATTACTTTTGGAGATAATAATAATAATTGCAGTAAATGAGGACATGATTAACCTTCTCTTATTCCTCCAGAATGTCAAGGGCATAGTTTATCCTGCATAAGGTATTTTACCCTACCTGGGGCAGAGAAAGGCAGAAGGTAATGCAATAAATCTAGCTCTTAATTTTTTTTTCTAAGCTAGGAAGTGTTCACATGCAGCTATCCAGCTGCTCATAGGGATGAGCTATCTGTAACTTTACAGTAGCAAACAAAATTTATTTTGTAGTCCCGTTATCTTCATGAAATGAGAAAATATTTCACCTTGGGGTTTTATTGTGGCATTGTTGATCAAAACTTTCAGAATGTACCTAGAGTTTGAGAACTTTTCAATTGTTCAGTTTCCATCCAGGAGTCATTTTGCAATCTTTTCCCACTGATTATCATAAATAATAATTTTCCTTTCCTTTCCTTTCCTTTCCTTTCCTTTCCTTTCCTTTCCTTTCCTTTCCTTTCCTTTCCTTTCCTTTCCTTTCCTTTCCTTTCCTTTCCTCCCTCTTCCTTTCACTTCATTTCCTTTCCTTTCCTTCTCTTCTCTTCTCTTCTCTTCTCTTCTCTTCTCTTCTCTTCTCTTCTCTTCTCTTCTCTTCCCTTCCCTTCCCTTCCCTCCCCTCCCCTCCCCTCCCCCCTCCCTCCCTCCCTCCCTCCCTTTCTTCCTTCTTTCCTTCATCCCTTCTTTCATTTCTTTTCCTTTAGTTGACTTATGGCTCTTTTGCACATGAAGAGTTTCACAGTACCAAATTATCTTCACTTTACTGCATGGTCCCAAATGAGGACTATCAGTACACTGGAGTTATACAACTTTTCCTCCATTTTGGATGGACGTGGATTGGAGTCTTTGCTTTTGAAACTAAGGGAGAACATTTTTTGCAGAAAATGCAGCCGTTGTTTTCACAGAACGGGATCTGTTTAGCTTTCACACAAAAAATTCCGCAACATCTCCACTTGGAAGATTTCCCAGAATTGTTAGATTCAGTCTCAATTATTTCAAATAAATTGAGGGATCGAAAAGCGAATGTTTTTCTTGTCTACGGAGAATCCTTCACAACAGTGTGGCTCAGTTTTGTCATGTTTCTACGTGATCCTGAAAATAAAGAGAGCGCATTGTTTAGGAAGGTTTGGATCCTGATGAATCCGATTGATTTCATCCTGACGGGAACTCAAAGGAGTTGGGATCTCCAGGTGTACCATGGGGCTCTTTCCTTTACTGTGCATTCAAGAGAAGTTCGAGGCTTCAAAGAATTTCTTCAAGTCCTCAAACCTTCAACCCAGAAAGATGCATTTCTTCAAGAAGTTTGGCAACAATTGTTTGACTGTATATTTTCAAAGACAGACTTCCCTTCAACTATCAGTGGAACTTGTAGTGGGGAAGAGAATTTGGAGGATCTGCCTACACCATTTTTTGAATTTCAGATGACTGGCCAAAGCTATAGTATCTACAATGCTGTTTATGCAGTGGCACATTCTTTGCATGAGGCAGTGACATCAAGACCCAAATGGACAAAAATTCAAAGGGCCGAATTTCCAGATCTGCAGCCTTGGCAGGTAATCTCCCCATGCCATACCTATGTTTTGTCTTAGCGAATAGTCATTCTCAACCACAATCTGATATGACTTGTTTGCCCTGCCCTATGGCCACATATCAATAGAGATCCTAAAGCAGTGATGGGTAACCTTTTCCGGACCAAGTACTCAAACCGCCATGCATTCGCCCTGCCCCTTGTGCATGCACACATCCCCACATGTGCCCCCACCCACACATGCATGCATGACCCTCCTCACATACCCCCACCCCCCAAGCATGCACATCAGTGGTGGGTTCCTCCCGGTTCGGCACGGTTCTCCCGAGCCGGTAGCGGGGACGATATGACATCACCAAACCGGTTCTTCCCCCTTTTATTTGGCCCCACCCCCAATCTATTGCTGCCTCCTGAGTCCCAGCTGATGGCTAGAGGGAAAAAAACTGTTTAAACTCTTGCCGCAGGGCTTCAAAGGGCCACCCTACAGCTGATCAGTGTTAAAAGAAAACAAATGAGTAGACCAATGCCTGCAAAAATGCATGAGTAGATCAGTGCCTGCAAAAATACATGAGTAGATCAGTGCCTGAAAAAATAAATGGATACACCAGTGCCTGAAAAATATAAATGGGTTGATCGGTACAGCTCTGCAAGCAGTTAAAAGCTGGTAGACCAGTACCTCTGCAAAATCCTAAATAATTGTCACATGACCATCAAGCCATGCCCACAAAATAAGCCACACCCACAGAACAGGTAGTAAAAAAAATTAGAACCCACCCCTGATGCACATGTGCCCCCCCGTATGTCCCCCGCCCCTGCTCATGCATGCGCAGCCCCCAACATGCCCCCCTGTGCATGCACGGCAGAGACCCGTAGACCAGGAAGGCACGCGTGCATGCACGACAGAGCTGAACTGGAGTGACAGCTCGTGCCACTTCTGGCATGCGTGCCATAGGTTCACCATCACAGTCCTAAAGCAACCACAATTTTTGTGTAAGAAATCACTCTATATTATAAAATAAAAGAGTTTTCAAAGTAATACTGCTTTTGCAATTGTTTGGCTTCATCAATGGGATTTGTACATCTATCATCATTCCATTAACCACCATTTCTTCTTGCCCGATTTATAAATTCATCAGCTCTGGTTCCAAGAATTCAACAGAGAAGCATCTGCTGAATTTTGTTTCTTGGCACAACAAATGTTTCTTAAATGGGAACATTTCATTTTTTAATTAGTTTTTTGAAGACAGGTTTGTGAGCCTGGGGACGTAGAGTTTATGACAGTTATTCTAGTGTAATAGAGGTGCATTGTTTCCATCAAATGATCTTGGTTTTTAGATTTGTGGTAAATTACCAGATGAATTGCTGAGTTTGCTGGCTTTAAAGTACTTAGGATAATTAATTAATAGACTGAGCTCCATATCTCAGTTATAGATTGTACTTTGCGTGTTGAGATTTTCTTCTTCTCTATGCGAAGAGAAGAAGGAATGTTGTTTGATTCCTTTGGAAGAAAGAGTAAAAGAAAGAGAAACTTTAATCAATTCCCGATGCATTGTTTCCTTTTTAACTCCCTCTTTCTTCTTCTCCTTCAAGTAGCTCCACGAGTTTCTTCAACAGGTTTCTTTTAACAACTCAGCTGGAGAAAGAATCTTTTTTAAAGACAGAAGAGAAGGCCCAGGTGGCTTTGACATCATCAATATGATCACTTTCCCAAACAGATCCTTTCAGAGAGTTAAAGTTGGAAAGTTACACCCTAAGGCTCCAAAAGGAAAAGAAGTTATCATTGAGAATACAATTGTTTGGCACCCTGGTTTTAACCAGGTATGAATAGCAATAGCACTTAGACTTACTGTATTTTTCGGAGTATAAGATGCACCAGAGTATAAGACACACCTTAGTTTTTGGGGAGGAAAATAAGAAAAAAGCTGATTGACGGAATACCCCCAATCAGCTGTTCCAAGAGGTGATTTTAACAAGAGGTTCATTGGTTGTGAACTCTGTGCCTTGCTTTTTTTTTTTTTTTTTTTTGCTTTTTTGCTTTTTTTTTTCTGCCTCTGAAAGCCTCTGAAACAGAGCTTCAGAAAAAAAGCCTCTGAAGCTCTGTTTCTGAGGCTCTGTTTGGAGGCTTTTTTTTCTGAAGCTCTGTCTGGAGGCTTTTTTTCTGAAGCCTCTGTTTCTGATGCTTTTTTCAGCCTCTGAAACCTCCATTTGAGAATCTGGACAGGGCTACATTCGGAGTATAAGACGCACCCAGATTTTCACCCACTTCTTTTAGGGAAAAAGGTGCATCTTATACTCCAAAAAATACGGTATGTATCACTTCATAATCAGTGGTGGGTTTCTACCGGTTCACCCCAATTCTGGGTTTCCATTTTAATGCCCCCGGAAGGATGGAAGGATGGAACTTTGAGCCGGTGAGGATTGAACTCCCTGCAATGGGCAGAGTTAGCCTGCAATACTGCATTCTAACCACTGCACCACCATGGCTCAATCTTGTTCACATACAAAGAAACACATTCCCTCTGTAAAATGTTAGCAATGTTAAAGGTCATTCGCATAATCCAATGTAGACCATTTCCATAGTCTAAACGGGATTCTTTCAAATCAATGGCTATGTTTATATCTGTAGGTTCTTCCTGTTTCTTTGTGTAATGACCACTGTTCCCTTGGATACTGGAAGAGAGGGGCTGAAGGCAGTCAGTTCTGTTGCTATGACTGTGTTCCATGCCCAGAAGGAAAGATTTCTAATCAAACTGGTAGGTTATCAGTTTCACCATACATATTTTTCTTTAACACGTTGTTATTTCTTAAATTAAACATAAAACAGGCAGGCAGGCAGATCTTAAGGTAAAGGTAAAGGTTCCCCTTGCACATATGTGCTAGTCATTCCTGAATCTAGGGGGTGGTGCTCATCTCTGTTTCAAAGCCGAAGAACCAGCGCTGCCCGAAGACGTCTCTGTGGTCATGTGGCCAGCATGATTAAATGCCAAAGCCACACAAAATGCTGTTACCTTCCCACCGAAGGTTGTCCCTATTTTTCTACTTGCATTTTTGACATGCTTTAGAATAGCTAGGTTGGCAGAAGCTGGGACAAGAAAAGAGAGCTCACCCCATTATGCAGCATTAGGGATTCAAACCACTGAATGCCGACCTTTCGATCAACAAGCTCACCCTCATCACAAAACCCTTATTTTGTATTAGAGTGGAAGTTACTTTTGTTCACACTTGCATTCTCCTTTGCATCAATCTTTTAGTCCCTATGTTTTCTGTGCTCATGCAACAGTAAGACATATTGTGAACACCGATGGTCATCTGTTGTCTTAATGAACTTTGGATGTTAGGTGGGCATAGGAATTTTCCATGTCAACCGCCAGCCCCTCCGGCAGCTGAATCAGATGAGGAGGCAGTGTGGGAGTCGGGGCCAGCATCAAGGCAATCTGAGAGCTCTGAGGGAGAAGAGGGAATGGAGCTGTCAGAGATAGAGACATAGGCAGAGCCTGGGCCGTCTGTCAGCCCTCAGATGGAGAGTCAACAGCCCCCAGGTCTGGAGGTGGCTGATGAGGAAGAGGAGGAACAGCTGGGTCCAGTGCCTGACACGCGGATGCGCAGAAGGCAGAGGAGAGGAGAGCAGCAGGAATCTATGGGCCAGTCCTTGGGACAGAAAAGCCACTTTTGCTAGATAAGCCCCACCCTAGCTCTGGGGATAAAAGGCAGGGGGCGGAGATGAATAGGTGTGGCAGACAACTATTCACCTCCCCTTCGGTCAACCACTGATAGCCTGACTTCTGAATCCTGTCTGGAACTGATCAGAATTCTTCCTTTGAATCTGCTGAGAGTTGGGTGTGCTTTCTGAGCGTGTGTGTCTCTGCTAATGGAAAAAAACGAGCACACTTTCCAGGACTTCTTGTGTGAGTGTTTAGAGAAAGAGACTCCTGGTGTGTTGGGCCATTTCAGGGAGAAAGGGAGCGAGCTTCACTTTCCACAGTTCAATTCAAATCTTTATTGCCAGTGCACAACATAGGTATAATGAGATTGGTCGAGCTCTCTCAATGCACCTCCCCAACACAATACAACTCACAGTGAAGACAGAAAATCCCTAACCCAATAAATCATATTAACAAAGCACCCAGTCCTATTGCACCAGTGTGAACATGTTACACATTGCACCTGCCCTTCAGACCATCATACTACGTAGTTATGGTGTTATTTCTCATTCAGGAGTCTGACAGCCCACGGATAAAAACTGTTCTTCAGCCTTTTTGTGTGGCTGGCTATGCTTCTATATCTCCTTCCCGATGGTAGGAGGGTAAAGAAGTGGTGACCAGGGTGAGAGTCATCCCTGAGAATTTTCATCACTCTTCTATCGCAGCGAGTCCTAGTGACCTCATCACAGGCACTGAAAGATTTGTTAGCCTGCTGTGTGTGAGAAAAAGAGAGACTTTTTGCCGGGGCTGCTGGCGCTCCTAATAAAAGGAACATTTAATTAACTACAGATGGTTTGTCATGTTTGGGAGCCGAGTCAGAACACAGGGTGTTGTGATGTTGATTCCTGGATTATGTGTTAGGCCTCGACCTACTAATAAGTCCAGCTAAGCCATGTCTGATCTAGCCAGTTTATGAGTGGGAGATGTCCAGCCTATTATATGACCAGCAGAGTAGACTTTCCAATGGTGGAAAAAGACATGAGTGAAATATTTGATTCTTATCAAGAAAGAAGACCACTAGGCCTGTTGTGGACCGGCTGAGGCAATCCACCTGACTATTTGCCACCCCCGCAATATGCTTCGCGTTGAGGGAAAGCAAATGCTTTTCTCCCCACCTCCCCAGGAGCTCCACTTCCATCATGAGGCTCCTGGAATGAGTGCCTCTTTGATGGTTTATGTGTGCCTTGGCCGTGACATTGTCCGTAAGAATGAGAAGATGTGTTGGCCCTGTACTAAGGTCTTGAAGTGGAGAAGGGCAAGGTGTGCCACCCAAAGCTCCAGCCAATTGATGTTGTGGGACAGGTTCGCTGGGGTCCAGCGGATCTGAGCCATGTGGCCCTGAAGATAAGCCCCCCAGCCAAACGGGCTGGCATCTGATGTTATTGTGATGCGACTGGGCTCCCGGAAGAGACAGCCCTTGTCCAGCGCTGCAGACATCCACCATTTGAGGGAGAGCAACACCTCTGGGGAAACACATACCTTGGTCTGAGAGCTGCTGTTGCCTGACCGTTGATATGGGAGCAGGAACCAGGGAAGGGTTCTGGCATGCAGCCAAGCCCAAGGCACTATCTGTTTGAATCTAGGTGCATGGGCTTACTTGAGAAATTCCTTGATCTGTTCTTTTGGGCTGAATTAATGTATGATTTGTGGCAGAGGTGAAATGCTACTGGTTTGCCCCGGTTCGGGCAAACCGGTAGTGATAAAAACTATCGGTTCGGGCGAACCAGAAGTTTAAAAAAAATAGCTACCAGTTCGGTCGAACCAGTAGTTAAAAAATGCTACAGGTCCCTCCGAACCAGTATCTCTGACAATCAGCTTTGCCGCATGGTTTAGCTTTGCTAGAAAGCAGGAAATTCTTTCTAGCAAAGCTAAATCACGCAGCCCAGCTGATCCCCCCCTCACTGTTCTACTTACCTTCCCGAACCTCCTTTAGGTTTGTACTGCACATGTGCATGCAGTGTGCCTTTGGCATGTGCTGGTTCAGATTTCACCACTGATTTGTGGGCAAATCAGCTCCTCTTTTAAAGACAGTATAGAAATAAGAACAATTGAGTTAAATTTCAACTTAAACTTTAAGTAAATGGTGGCGTAAAGCTAAAGAAACAACAATCTGGGTTCTGTAAACTGATAAAGGTCAGTTCTGTAACAAATGCAACATTTCTTTTCAACATGATCTGCCTTTTTCCAAGTTTTAACTTCCATGAAAACCTGAGAATATGTGAAAGCAAAGGAGTTTCACTAGACAAAAGAAGTCTTGCGAATGGAACAGCTATTCCATCATCCAAGGCACACTTTGGAAAACCAACACATGTTCCTCTCATAGATGACAAAAGATTCCTAAAGTCAGGATAAAATACAGGCAACCGATCATATCCCTTTATCAGAAAGGCACATTATAGGAAAGAATAAGAACTCAGGCTAAGTTTTTCAAAAATATGAAATGGATAGGAGATAAATTCATTGGCTTTTCTTTCCAGATGCGGATGACTGTTTTGAATGTTCACAAGATCATTATCCAAATAAAGAAAAGAAAGGATGTATCCTGAAACTGCTGGTCTTTCTAAATTTCGAAGAACCCTTAGGAATTAGCTTGGTCTCCGCAGCTCTTTGTTTCTTCTTCTTGACATCTTGGATACTTGGAACATTTATGAAGCACAGGGATACTCCCATTGTCAAAGCCAACAACCGGTCGCTCACCTACACCCTCCTTGTCTCTCTTCTGCTCTGTTTTCTCTCCTCTTTGCTTTTCCTCAGCCAACCTGGCAAAGTGACCTGCCTTCTCCGACAACCAACATTTGGCATCACTTTCTCAGTGGCCATTTCTAGTGTACTAGCCAAAACCATCACTGTGGTTGTGGCTTTCATGGCCACTAAACCAGGATCTCAGATGAGGAGATGGGTGGGGAAAAGATTGCCTTTTTCTATTGTCCTTTCCTGCTCTCTCTTACAAGTATGTGTTTGTATACTTTGGTTGTCAACATCACCTCCATTCCCTGAGTTGGACATGCACTCAGAGCTCCAAGAAATGATTTTACAGTGCAATGAGGGGTCAGCTTTCTTCTTCTACTGTGTCTTGGGCTACATGGGAATCTTGGCCATCTCCAGCTTTATTGTGGCTTTCCTTGCCCGTAAATTACCTGACAGCTTTAATGAAGCCAAGTTCATCACCTTCAGCATGTTGGCCTTTTGCAGTGTGTGGATCTCCTTCTTTCCAGCCTATCTGAGCACAAAAGGCAAAGCCATGGTAGCTGTGGAGGTCTTCTCCATCTTGTCCTCCAGTGCTGCATTACTGGGATGCATATTCCTGCCCAAATGCTACATCATTGTTTTGCGGCCTGACCTCAACCACCGGGAGCAACTCATAAGGCGGAATTAGCACATCATGTGTTCTTTCTGGCTACGGAAAATGATTAACAAAAAAGAGTAGAGAGCCTGCTTTCTACAGGAAATTATAGACATAATTATTTCTATCAAACAAGATTTTATATACCAGTATGATTGGGTTTATTATTAAAACATATTGTTGCCTATTCCAAATGAAGTACTCATTTTCCTACATTTTCAGACATTCTCCAAAATTGTTTAACCTAACCCTTTTTTCCTTTGAATACATCAAGCTAACAAGATTTTGAGCATCTATCTCTTTATATTCTTAGGAGATTTGAGCTCTTTACTTTAAGGATATCTAAAAGTTTGCAGCTTTCAGTTCATGGTGTTTATAGCTTCACTTTATAAACCACTGTATAAATATGGGGGAAAGCTAATGAATATTTTATGGATGTGTATTTAACACAGTATTGTAGGGTATCCATTTTGAATTGATTGGTCTTCTTTGAAATGTAAAAGTTAGAATTTTTTTTTGAACATTTAACATACATTTAACTGTGTTTTTGAAAAAGCTTTCACAAAGGGTCAAAACTATTCATTCGCCATCCACCAATGTCTTTCTACTGTACTTAATCATCCAATTTTAATAATGTTGCAATTTAGAGGCATTATATAAAACATAGTCTTCCATCTAACACAATCCAATAAAAGCATATGCTGGCCGTTGGCCATAACAATTTTGGATTTAATTTGGTTTGTTTTGGGTGTGTCTTCCACTACTCTTTTGGACGAGACCCTTTCCATTAAAAAGGTAAAGGTAAAGGTTCCCCTCGCACATATGTGCTAGTCGTTCCCAACTCTACGGGGTGGTGCTTATCTCTGTTTCAAAGCCGAAGAGCCAGTGCTGTCTGAAGACGTCTCCGTGGTCATGTGGCCGGCATGACTAAATGCCAAAGGTGCACGGAACGCTGTTACCTTCCCAGCAAAGGTGGTCCCTATTTTTCTACTTGCATTTTTGACGTGCTTTCGAACTGCTAGGTTGGCAGGAGCAGGGACAAGTAACGGGAACTTACCCCGTTATGCGGCACTAGGGATTTGAACTGCTGAACTGCCGACCTTTCGATCGACAAGTTCAGCATCTTAGCCACTGAGCCACCACATCCCTTTATCTCACATTACGTTACAGCAAACAGGCAGAATTCACTTTTTTCATTTCACAACAAGTTACTTAGCTAGGCTACTTGGCAGGTTTTATCTTTGCAGGTAGCGCATTATGGAGCTCAGCTCTGCAGGGAATCAAAAGTTTATTGCTTTTATTGCTTAACGCATTGTAAGCCGCCCTGAGTCTCTGGAGAAGGGCGGCATATACATCAAATTTTTAAACAATTTTAATATTTTAACATTTTTCATATCTTTAATACTTAAAGTCTAAATTGGTTTTAAATTGACTGGGGTTTTAATCTGTCTGGGCCAAACTATTTAATTTGATTTTATTTCTACTTTTTAAATTTTGTATGTATGTATTTTATTGTTGGCTGTTCACCGCCCTGAGTCCTTCGGGAGTAGGGCAGTATACAAATCAAATAAAAGTAAAAAAGTAAAGTAAAATTAAAAAAAAAAAAGCTAAGTTAGATTACACTCTGTATGTGCTCTAATCCTTTCATAAGGAATGAACGTGAATTTGAACAACGAAGCCTATTTTTATCATCCTTCTCTTTTATTTTTTATTTTTATTGGCATCTTCTCCATATCAAAGCACCAGACACTTATGATCTCACCAATAACAAAATAATTGCTTCCTACGGGAATCATGGTATTTTCTTACTTAGGCCCAGACTTGCAGAGAAAAAGCGTGTTTAAATTCAACAACAACCAAGATGCAAGCATCTGTTTGCTTATGAAGGATCTCTTGACCCACAGGGAGATGGTCACAAAGGGGGAAATGGATCAGTTGGATTCATTGCTATAGGGTCCTTTCTACATGTCCGATCTGCCAGAATATCGATTCATATCCTGGTGCTAGCCAAGATATGAATATGCACTCCTTTGGATCGTCAAATAGATAGTGATGGATTTTTGTCATTAGGTGAACTTTCAGATATAAAGCTTAGCTCAATCATTGGATGAACGTTGGATTACTTTCCTTTGCATTTGATAAAAAGAGATGGACATTTTCACTATAACTAAAGAGTCAAAATGTTGTTCCTTCTGATATTTTGGGGGTACAAACAGATTAGCCTGAGCTGCCCTGCAAGTGATGCTTTCCTTGTTCCACATGAGTGGTACCAGCTTGGCGATTTTATCATTGGGGGGATGATGTCTCAGTTTTTCTACCATTTTAATGAAATTGACTTTAAGGAACACCCGTCTCTCATACAGTATGATTTACCAATGTAAGGATTTTTCTCTCTTTCTTCTTCTTCTTCCCATGAATCTTATAATCTTAACCACAATCCTCAAAAATTGCTTATAGAAGTGAAAGCGTTTTGAGAGTAAATAAAGAGTTTTGTATAAAATCTATGTGTTTCAGATATAATTGGTTTCTGGCTACTTTGTGTTTCAAATAAAGAGCCTTGGTAGTACAGTGGTTTAATGCACCCTGTTATTAACACAGCTGCCTGCAATTTCTGCAGGTTTGAATCTTACCAGGCTCAAGGTTGACTCAGCCTTCCATCCTTTCTAAGGTAGGTTAAATGAGGACCCAGTTTGTGGGGGCAATAAGATGACTTTGTATAAATATACAAAAGTATGAAGGCTATTGCTTAACGCATTGTAAGCCGCCCTGAGTCTTCGGAGAAGGGCGGCATATAAATCAATTTTTTTTTTAAAAAAATGTACCTTTTCTGCAGTCTACAAAGAGTGCAGAGAAAAGCAACCAAGATAATTAAGGGGCTGGAGGTTAAAGCATACAAATAGAATAGAATAGAATAGAATAGAATAGAATAGAATAGAATAGAATAGAATAGAATAGAATAGAACAGAACAGAACAGAACAGAACAGAACAGAACAGAACAGAATAGAATAGAATAGAATAGAATAGAATAGAATAGAATAGAATAGAATTCTTTATTGGCCAAGTGTGATTGGACAAACAAGGAATTTGTCTTGGTGCATATGCTCTCACTGTACATAAAAGAAAAGATACATCCGTCAAGAATCATAAGGTACAACACTTAATGATAGTCATAGGGAATATGAAGAATGGTTGCAGGAATTGGGTATGTCTAGTCTACTGAAAAGACTAGGGGTGACATGATAGCAATGTTTCAATATTTGAGGGGCTCTCACAGAGAAGAAGAGGTCAAACCATTCTCCGAAACACCTGAAGGCAGGAGAAGTAACAATGGATGGAAACTAACCAAGGAGAGAAGCAACCTAGAATTAAGGAGAAATTTCCTAATAGTGAGAAAAATTAGCCAGTGGAATGGCTTGCCTTCAGAAGTGGTGAGGGCTCCAACACTGGAAGTTTTTAAAAAGAGATTGGATAACCATTTGTCTGCTGTGACATTGGGTCTCCTGCTTGAGCAGGACATAGGACTAGAAGACTTCCAAGGTCACTTCCAGCTGTGTTATTCTGGTTGTGAGGGAAGACATTATTTTCTTTACATTATGTTACTAGTATTCATCATGAAATGCATGAAACTTTGGTGGAAGACTTTTTGATGAACATTTAGTTAGCTTAATAATAATAATAATAATAATAATAATAATAATAATAATAATAACAACAACAACAACAACAACAACAACAACAACAACAACTTTATTGTCATTGTGTGTGTATACATAGTATACCCATACAACGAAATTCACTTAACACCCAAAGACCAGATCCAACACACATAACAATCCCCAAACACACTCCCACCCACTGTGAAGTTTCCGAAAGATGCCCTAATTAATTCATGAGCCATGAGCTGAACTTCAAAAGAAATACAGTCATTCCCCACCCCTAAACCACCCAAACATCCACACAACAGACCAAGTAATGCTGTCCAACAGCTCACTGATGGTGGCCCTTTAGTTCATTGTTGAGTGCAATTATAGCTCTGGGATTAATAAAAACTGTTCAGAAGACGTGCGGTCCGAGTTTTAATTGTCCTGTATCTTCTGCCAGAAGGCAACAGTCCAAAAAGATTGTAAGCAGGATGGGAAGAGTCTCTGAGAATGTTATGCAACTTCCTCAAACAGCGAGATGCGAAGATGTCGTCCAGGGCTGGTAGTTGGAGCCCGATGATATTCTGGGCAGTTTTAATGATTCTCTGTAGAGCTTCTTTGTCCGCTACAGAGCTGCTCCCAAATTTATTTCCTTAAATTTATATTATTAATTTTAAATTAATTTTATGATAATTCACTATTAAAATTGAATAAGCAACCAAACAAATACACGTACATGGTCTCTCCCTCACATAATATATATGCATGAAATGAGTAATATTTGCTGGTCATATATTCGATTTTGTGGTAAACTAATAGAAATAAATGTGGTAGCTTGCCTTTTATTTAATACAATATATCATTGTTGAAGGTCATGCAAACACTGTCTGAAAAGTATATTTGAACTCTGTACAAAGTATTGAATATTTAAGAAAGGCTTTTCTATTCCTATTTCCAACAAAGATAGAAATGTTTGTTAATCATATAAAAATGATACCGCCTTACAAAAAGTGTCAATGTCCTATTTAAATCATTTGCAGTGTAATAACCAAATTCTATCAGCACGTCCTCGCCTTGGCTTTTGCTGTGAAGGAGATCAATGAGGACCCCCAGATCTTACCTAACATCACTCTTGGGTTCCACATCTGTGACAGTTACTACAACCCAAGGATGACCTATCGCACCACTCTGGACCTCCTTTTCAAATCCCAGGAATTTGTTCCTAACTACAAATGTGATAGCCAGAAGAATCTCATGGCCATCATTGGAGGATTGGATGCTCCTACTTCATCCTACATGATGCAAACTATAAATATCTTCAAGATTCCACAGGTAATTTTGGCAGGAGGCTGAAAGAGAAACTTTGACTTCCTTTTTAAATGAATGTCAGAGATAATTATTTTGCAGTGCCTTTCTGCAAGACTTCCATTAAATCCAATTCCAATTTGCTCTTCCTTCTGCAATTTCCGTGGTGGTGCAGTGGTTGGAATGCTTATTGCAGGCTAATTCTGCTGACTGCCAGGGGTTCAATCCTCACCGGCTCAAGGTTGTTTTTTTTAAAAAAAAATTTGATTTATATGCTGCCCTTCTCCGGAGACTCAGGGTGGCTTACAATGCGCTAAGCAATAGCCTTCATACTTTTGTATATTTATACAAAGTCAGCTTATTGCCCCCACAAACTGGATCCTCAATTAACCTACCTTAGAAAGGATGGAAGGCTGAGTCGACCTTGAGCCTGGTAAGATTCGAACCTGCAGAAATTGCAGGCAGCTGTGTTAATAACAGGATGCATTAAACCACTTTACTACCAAGGTTCTTTAACACAGGTTAACACAGCCTTCCATCTTTCCAAGGTTGGTCAAATGAGGATCCAGATTATTTGGGGGCATTATGCTGATTCTGTAAACCACTTATATAGAGAGGGCTGTAAAGCACTGTGAAGCAGTATGTAAGTCTAAGTGCTATTGCTATTTTGCCCACAATTCACTCAAGGTCATCCAGTCAACAAAATTGAAATCTCTTATTATGATGATAGATCGGAAAATCTAAAACAAATATTACACAACAAATTTAAACTTATTTGATGCACGCAAGTAACTTTGTGGTGTAATCACCACCCAAACCTTAAGTGATTAACTCGCTTTGCTGTGTCTCAGTTTGTGTCTGATAATGATAACTCAGTTTGCCTGGAAATGATTGAAGGATTGGGGGCTATGTGGTATTTTGGAAGATCACTATAATAACTGCAGTAAAAGAGGATATGCTTGACTCTTCCTTTTCTTCAAAAATCCCATGCATAGTCTTTCATTCTTAAGTATTTTACTCTTATCTACTGCAAAGTTGGGCAGAATATTATCCAATAAGTCTAACTCTTAATAATTTGTAGCCTGGATAGAGTTCACATACTGGGGTAGTGAGAAGATTTCCAGCTGTTCATGAGGATGTGCTTTCTGAAGCTCTTCCTTTGATTCTAATCAATAATAACTTTCCGTTCCTTTTCCTTTCCTTTCCTTTCCTTTCCTTTCCTTTCCTTTCCTTTCCTTTCCTTTCCGTTCCGTTCCTTTCCTTTCCTTTCCTTTCCTTTCCCAGAGGATTATTGGTTGTCCTCTCCCTTCTTTGGAAGAGCTTTATAGCTCCCACTGCCTTAAGAACATTCAAAACATTCTTAAAATCCATCTCATCCTGGGCACTTTTTTTTTTTTTAACTATTACCATCTGGCTGCCGGTACCGGATAAAAAAAACAAGGACAAATAGGCTGAAAAACAGCTTCTATCCCAGGGCAGTAACTAGATTGAATTCTACTGTATAGTCCAATATTAATGCAATATCGGTTTTCAATTCAATTGTATAGAATGTGAAGGATGTTTGTTTGTGTTTTATTTTTATAATTATAATGTACACTGAAGATGGCATTTAATTTTGTAGCACAAGGTGCAATGACAATAAAGTAAAGTAAAGTAAACTAAGTAAACTTTCCTTTCCTTCTATTATCTTCCCTTCCCTTCTCTTTTCTTTTTTTCCTTCCTTCCTTTCTTCCTTTCTTTTTCTTCCTTTTTTTCTTCCTTTTCTTTTAGTTGACCTATGGCTCTTTTGCCCAAGAAGAGTTTCAGTCTACTAAGTTATCTTCACTTTACTGCATGGTCCCAAATGAGAACTATCAATACATGGGAGTTATACAACTTTTCCTCCATTTTGGATGGACGTGGATCGGAGTCTTTACTTTTGAAACTAAGGGAGACCATTTTTTGCGGAAAATGCAGCTGTTGCTTTTACAGAACAGGATCTGTGTAGCTTTCATACAAAAAATTCCAGAACATATCAACTTGGAAAACTTCCCGGAATTATTTGTTTCAATCACAATCACTTCTAATAAATTGATAGATCAGAAAGCAAGCGTTTTTCTTGTTTATGGAGACTCACTCACAATAGCGTGGCTCAGAACTGTCATGGTTCTACACGATCCTGAAAATAAAGAGAGCACATTGTTTCGGAAGGTTTGGATCCTGATGAACACGATTGATTTCATATTGACAGGATTTCAAAGGAGCTGGGATCTCCAGTTGTTCCATGGGGCTCTTTCCTTTACAGTGCATTCAAGAGAAGTTCCAGGCTTCACAGAGTTTCTTCAAGTCATCAAACCTTCAACCCACAAAGATGGATTTCTTCAAGAGGTTTGGCAACAATTATTTGACTGTATATTTTCAAAGGCAAACTTACCTTCTACTCTCAGTGGAACTTGTAATGGGGAAGAGAATTTGGAGAATTTACCTGCTCCTCTCTTTGAGTTGCAGATGACTGGCCAAAGCTACAGTATCTACAATGCTGTTTATGCAGTGGCACATTCTTTGCATGAGGCAGTGAGATCAAGAACCCAAGCAAGAGAGATTCAAAGAGTTGAATTTCTGGATCTGCAACCTTGGCAGGTAATCTTGTCTTATCTATACCTATCTTGTATTTCATCATAGCTTATTTACCCTCTCCTATGGCCACCCATAGAGAGGCAACAAAACCATTAGTGTCAGAAGTCACTCTATGTTCTAAAACAACAACAGCAAACATCATGTCTTTGTCAATTTCAGCCTAGTCAATGGAATTGATGTATCAATGTTCATTCCATAAATAACTGTTTCATCTCCACAATGAATTGGCCTGCCTTGTAAATTTATCCAGCTTGGTTCCACAAAGTATCAAGCTAGTCTAGTGAAGAGAAGAGAAGAGAAAGACCAGGGGAGACATGATAGCAGGGTTCCAATATATGGGGTGCTGTCACAGAGAGAAGGGGGTCAAGCTATTTTCCAAGGCACCCGAAGGCCAGACAAAGGAATAATGGATGGAAACTGTTCAAGGAGAGATTCAACCTGGAAATAAGGAGACATTTTCTGACAGTGAGAACAATCAACCCATGGAACAGAAGTTGCCTTCAGACGTTGTAGGAGTTTCCTCACTGGAGGCTTTCAAGAAGAGACTGGACTGCCAACTATCAGAAATGGTATAAGGTCTCCTGCTTGGGTGTGGGGGGAGGGTTGGACTAGATGACCTACAAGGTCCCTTCCAACTCTGTTAAACTGTAAAAATAAAGGATTCAATCGCATTGTGTCTGCATTGCATCTTTTTTTATGCCCCCCCCCCCAAAAAACCTTTTCTGAAATGTGGACATTTCACTTTTATTAGCTTTTTGCAATTTATTCAAGACAGGATTGTTAGATGGGAGACCTAGGGCTTATCATACTGTCTTTGGTAATAGAGGTATATGAAATGAAGTAGGTGAAATGAGGACCCAGTTTATGGGGGCAATAAGCTGAGTTTGTATAAATATACAAAAGGATGAAGGCTATTGCTGAGCACATTGTAAGCCGCCCTGAGTCTTCGGAGAAGGGCGGCATATAAATCAAATTAAAAAAATAAATAAATTATAAATAAATAAATTAATTAATTATATTTCTATAAGGGACGTGGTAGCTCAGTGGCTAAGATGCTAAGCTTGCCGATCGAAAAGTCAGCAGTTCAGCGGTTCGAATCCCTAGTGCTGCATAATGGGGTGAGCTCCCGTTACTTGTCCCAGCTTCTGCCAACCTAGCAGTTCGAAAGCACGTAAAAAATGCAAGTAGAAAAATAGGGACCACCTTTGGTGGGAAGGTAACAGCGTTCTGTGCACCTTTGGCATTTAGTCATGCCGGCCACATGATCACAGAGACGTCTTCAGACAGCGCTGGCTCTTCGGCTTTGAGATGGAGATGAACACTGCCCCCTAGAGTCGGGAACGACTAGCACATATGTGCAAGGGGAACCTTTACCTTTACCTTTAATGTGAGATATTTCTATGAAGTGATGTTGATTTCCAGATTTATGATAAAGTACCAGAACAAATGCTGAGTTTTTTGGGCTTTAAAGGACTTGCCATAATTAATTAATAAAACAAAAGTGAGTTCCATATCTCAGTTATTAATCATTCTTTGTGGGTAGACATTTCCTTCTTCAAACCAAGAAATATTGTTTGATTTCCTGGGAATGATGCATTGTTTTCTTTTTGAATCCCTTTTTCCTATCCTCCTTCAAGTAGCTCCACAAATTTCTTCAAGAGATTTCTTTTAACAACTCAGCTGGAGAAAGAATCTTCTTTAAAGACAGAAGAGAAGGTCCAGGTGGCTTTGACATCGTCAACATGATCACTTTCCCAAACAGATCCTTTCAGAGAGTTAAAATTGGAAAGTTACACCCCAAGGCTCCAAAAGGAAAAGAAGTTATCATTGAGAACACAATCCTTTGGCACCCTGGTTTTAACCAGGTACGAAAACGTGTTCATGGACAAAGGAACACATCCCCTCATAAAATGTTCTCATGAAGTTTTATTATTTTCAGCATAGGTCTCCCAACATTTTTTTCAAACATAATTAGGGCCTGAATTTCTGCAATGGTCTAGAGAAAATGCTGCAAATGATGATGATGATGGTAAATAGATGTTAGATAGATGATGATAGATAGATAGATAGATAGATAGATAGATAGATAGATAGATAGATGATGGATAGCTAGCTAGCTAGATAGCTAGATAGCTAGATGGATAGATGATGGATAGATAGATAGATAGTTGTTAAAAATACGATAATTATTCAGAGTTTCAATCTTGTCTGCTTGTTGTTCTTGTCCCTATGATTTCAAGAATTTCTACAACCCCTCCCCCAAATACTAATAATGTCAAAGGTCATTCATATAATCCAATTTAGATAATTTCCATTGTCTAATCTATATTCTTTCATATCTATGTCTATGTCCCTAGGTTCTGCCTGTTTCTCTCTGTAATGATGCCTGCTCTCCAGGTTACTGGAAGAAAAGGGCTGAAGGGAAAGCATTCTGTTGTTATGATTGTGTTCCGTGCCCAGAAGCCAAGATTTCAAATCAAGCTGGTATTTTCACAATATTTTGGAGGGGGGGGGTATTACATCACTAATTTTTCATTAATTAGCCATTCATTATATATGCTTCAAAGAAATGTAATGCCCTGTATGTGTATTTGTATAATTAAAAGTTTTAATGAGGAATATTTTTAGCTGATTCCCAAATTTGTTTATGGGAAACCTGTAACTATTATTCCACTGGGGATAGATAGATAGATAGATAGATAGATAGATAGATAGATAGATAGATAGATAATATATAGAGATGATGTCAGCGTTCCAACAGATGCCCTAATTAAATCATGAGCCTCAAGCCAAGCTTAAAAAAAAATCCAGTTTTTTATTAGGAGCTTCATGTTGGCATGTTCCCAAGTGAAGCCAGCTCTTACCCTATGTAATTCACGGTCCAATTATGACCCTGTTCCCCCCCTCTCCCTCAGGGTGTGTCATCAATCACATTCACCAATGGAGCAGCTCCAGCTGCTGTAGGTGACCATGGGATACAGCCTTGAGAGAGATAAGTGTGGAATGTGCATCTGTCTTTGGCTGCTGTGCCATTTCGCCGGTTTCCCATCCCGCCTGGCCTATGGCAACTCGAGAGCAGGCTAGGGATGCTTTGTGAGTTGATGATGGATAGATGGATGGATGGATGGATGGATGGATGGATGGATGGATGGATAGATAGATGATAGATAGATAGATAGATAGATAGATAGATAGATAGATAGATAGATACTGTATATATATTTGTGACAAAACAATACATCACAGAGTAGAGTACAGTACAGAGTAGGCATGATAGATAGATAGATAGATAGATAGATAGATAGATAGATAGATAGATAGATGGATGATGGATGGATATAAATTTTATTTCACCATTGAAATGAGGTGGGGGAAAGGGAGGAGAAGGAGGAAAAAAAGGAGATGATTAGAAGAAGAAGGAGAAGCAGAAGGAGCTTCACAAAAATTCACAATTCTAATTTCTTTTGTATTGGTGTTTTTGTCTCTGTGATTTTCAGTTTTCATGTAACAATATCAAATATTGAGAATACTGATGGTCATCCATTATTTTAATTAACTTTGAGTGCTATATGGATGTAGGAATTTTCAATACCAGGCACTGATTCCTAATATTTCCTAGATTATATGCTGAGCCGAATTGCTTGGGATGACAACCTACTCATTATGAATCTAGCTATGCAATGTCTGACTAAATAAATATATGAATGAGAGAAGACCAGCCAATGACATTTCTTAGAGTAGACTTAGAATTAAAGGAAAAGAATGCTACAAAAAAACAACAGCAAAATACTTTCATCTTACGAAAAAACGTGAACATATCATTGGAGTTTATGGCCATTGACTTATTTTATCTTTTTTTTCCCCAGATAAAAATATTAAAAATTAAACTTAAACTTCTGATTAAAGTCTAAATAATGAATGTCTACTTATGTTTCTCGGTCCCCACCTTTTTTTCAAAATTAAAATACTGATCTTTTCTTAATTTACTCACTATTTAGGAAGGAGGAAAGCTAAACGGGTTTAAATGAATTATATTGTTTGCACCTCAGAGTCCGTACTTCTCATTCTCTTATTTGTTATATATCCATCATCACACTTATTTTTTCAATGTTTTGCGAAAATGGGAAAATCCACATTGCCTATATTGTAATAAATGTGAAAATGTTGGGAAAAATTGCATTTCAAAGAATAACAATTGCACTTAGATTTATATACCACTTTATAGTGCTTTACAGCCTTCTCTAAGTGGTTTACAGAGTCAGCCTATTGCCCCCAATAATCTGGGTCCTCATTTTACCAACCTTGGAAGGATGGAAGGCTGAGTCAACCTTGTGCCATTTAGAATTGAACTGCTGGAGTGAGCAATGAGTTATTTTTTATTTTATTTTATTTTATTTTATTTTATTTTATTTTATTTTATTTTTATTTTATTTTATTTTATTTTATTTTATTTTATTTTATTTTATTTTATTTTATTTTATTTATTTTATTTTATTTTATTTTATTTTATTTTATTTTATTTTATTTATTAGTCATATTTCTATGCCATCCACTCTCCAAGGATTCTGGGCAGCTTACACCAAAGACAGTATACTAAATAGCATATTGCCCCCAAAAATCTGGGTCCTCATTTTACCCATCTCAAAAGGATGGAAGGCTGAGTCAACCTTGAGCCGGTGAGATCTGATCCGCTGATCTGCTGAACTAGCAGTCAGCTGAAGTAGCTGCAGTACTGCACTCTAACCACTGTGCCACCTCAGGTCATCAACTAATATTGCAGTTATCCTGCAGTATTGCATTTTAACCACTGGGCCACTATGGCTCTTCCCTTCATTTATGCCAATAAATGGCAGCAATAATTACTACTCCCTTCATTTATGCCAATCTTAAATTATAAAATTAAGGAAAAACGAATGATGGTATTATTAAGCATACAAAAAAAAATATTATGATTAGCAGTGAAATGATAAAATTAAACAAAGGGAGAATAGATAATGAAAGAATATATATTTAATGTAAACATGTGTATTAATACTAGAATCACACTGTTTGGATGATTGGAAAGAACATGAATAGATTTCTTCTATATGTTTAGATGATTGTGACTGGTATTAGAAGTGTACATTGAAACACTGAACAATGAAAGAATGAAGGATGAAACTTTAATATAAATAGATGTGAAGAGTTAAATAAGGGAAATACGAATAAGAAAGCAGGTGAAAGATGGAAGATAGAAAAGAAAAGTCTTTGAATATTACGGGGACATGGGGGAAAAGTTAAAATAGGGATAGAAATAAGAGGGGAATAATAGTATATATATATTAATATAACAAGATATATGTAATAATAAAAGGGGCTGGTAGCTCAGCAGACTAAAAGCATTGTGATTAACACCAGCTGTCTGCAATTACTGTAAGTTCGAATCTCACCAGGCTCAAGGTTGACTCAGCCTTTCATCCTTTCTAAGGTAGGTAAAATGAGGACCCAGTTTGTGGGGGCAATAAGCTGACTTTGTATAAATATACAAAAGTACGAAGGCTATTGCTTAATGCATTGTAAGCCGCCCTGAGTCTCCGGAGAAGAGTGGCATATAAATCAAATTTAAAAAAAATAAAATAAGGGGGAAGTCTAGAAATTGAAGGGCGGCAGTATTAGGTATGTTTAAACAATATGAAACAATGAAAATGAAATGTAATAACTATGAGTAATAATATTATGTCTATTTGTGATACCCAGGTATCACACTATTCACACATTGATATGTATTTATTTATTTATTTATTTATTTATTTATTTATTTATTTATTTATTTATTTATTTAATTTGTATACCGCCCTTCTCCCAGAGGGGACTCAGGGCAGTGAACAGCCAAAATTAAAAAACATACAAATACAAAAGTTAAGATAATTAAAAAAGAATTAAATCATTAGCTTCCCAATTTAAAACCCCCAAGTCCATAAAATTTAAAATCCCAATTAAAAACCATTTAGGCTAGGCCGACTTGGTGGAATAAAAACGTCTTCAGGGCTTTACGGAAGGTCCAGAGGTCCAGGATCAATCGTATTCCAGGAGGCAGCTCGTTCCACAGGGCGGGTGCCCCCACAGAGAAAGCTCTCCCCCTGGGGGCCACCAGCCGACATTGCCTGACCGACGGCACCCTGAGGAGGCCCTCTCTGTGAGAGCATATTGGCCGGTGGGAGGTTATCGGTAGCAGCAGGCGGTCTCGCAAATATCCTGGCCCTAAGCCATGGAGCGCTTTAAAGATGAGAACCAACACCTTAAAGCGCACCCGGAAGACCACCGGAAGCCAATGCAGCTCACGCAGGAGAGGTGTTACGTGGGAGCGCCACGTCGCTCCCATAATCACCCGCGCAGCCGCATTCTGCACCAGCTGGAGCCTCCGGGTGCTCCTCAAGGGGAGCCCCATGTAGAGAGCGTTGTTATGTATAAATAATATAAAATAAAAAACTTGGGGGGGGGGTAGGAAAAAATGCATTTTCATAGAAACATGATCCAACTGGTACTATGTGGAAAGAACTCAAAGTAGAATAATAGTTGGCCACCAACCAAATTATAGCTAGGAGGTGTGGTGATGCAGTGGTTAGAATGAAGTATTGCAGGCTAACTCTGCTCACTGCCAGGAGTTCGATCCTGACTGAATCAAGTTGCCTTAACCTTCCATCATTCTGAATAGAAAACCCAGATTGTTGGGGTGGGCAATATGCTGACTCTGTGAACAACTTAGAAAGGGCTGTAAAGCACTGTGAAGTGGTATATCACTCTAAGTGCTATTGCTATAAAGTGAAACACGATCTGCTGATGCAAAAGCATGAATTCATGTCTGTCAAATAGTGTGATCTTCGTCATTTTGACTGGAATGGTGTGATTGAAAGTTGGCCTTATTAGCAAGCTTCTAATGAACTACACTCATTGTGTGTACTGAATGTCATGCTCAAGCATGTCTTGCAAAACCTGGTATAAAAGACCTGTCAATCATCCCAGCTTGGTCCATTAGAAAAGAAAGACTCTTAGGCTATTGCGATGGAATGCATAAATGAAAAATGTCTTGACTTTTCTTCCAGATATGGATGATTGTTTTGAATGTTCACAAGATCATTATCCAAATAAAGAAAAGAAAGGATGCATCCTGAAACCGGTCATGTTTCTAACCTTTGAAGAAACGTTAGGACATTCTTTAGCCTCAACTTCTGTTTGTTTCTTCCTCTTGACATCTTGGGTACTTGGAACTTTTATGAAGCATAGGAATACTCCCATTGTCAAAGCCAACAACCGGTTCCTAACCTACACCCTTCTTGTCTCTCTTCAGATCTGTTTTCTCTCCTCTTTGTTGTTCCTCAGCCAACCTGGCAAAGTGACCTGCCTTCTCCGACAACCAACTTTTGGCATCACCTTCTCAGTGGCCATTTCTAGTTTATTGGCCAAAACCATCACTGTGGTTGTGGCTTTCATGGCCACTAAACCAGGATCACAGATGAGGAAGTGGGTGGGGAAAAGATTGGCTTTTTGGGCTGTCTTTTCCTGTTCTCTCTGCCAAGTGTGTATTTGTATTCTTTGGTTGTCAACATCACCTCCATTCCCTGAGTTGGATATGCACTCAGAGCTCCAGGAAATGATTTTACAGTGCAACGAGGGGTCGGCTTCCTTCTTCTACTGTGTCTTGGGCTACATGGGTATCTTGGCGATCGCCAGCTTTATTGTAGCTTTTCTTGCCCGTAAATTACCTGACAGCTTTAATGAAGCCAAGTTCATCACCTTCAGCATGTTGGCCTTCTGCAGTGTGTGGATCTCCTTCTTTCCAGCCTATCTGAGCACAAAAGGCAAAGCCATGGTAGCTGTGGAGGTCTTCTCCATCTTGTCCTCCAGTGCTGCATTACTGGGATGCATATTCTTGCCAAAGTGCTTCATCATTGTTTTGAGGCCTGACCTCAACCACAGGGAGCAACTCATAAAGCGAAATTAGTACCCTGTGTGTTCTTTCTTGCAAGGAAAAATTGCGGACAAAAAAAAAATAGAACATTTGATTGCTGCCTAGAAGAAACCTATAGAAGTAGTTATTTCTTTCAAAATTTTCTTTCAATAATCCTTTATGGAGGATTATTATGTTTACTCCTAGACGGGGAAGAAATTGAGGCAATGACAGATTTTATTTTCCTGGGTTTCAAGATCACCGCAAATGGGGACTGCAGCCAAGAAATTAAAAGACGCTTGCTCCTGGGGAGGAAAACTATGGCAAATATAGACAGCTTACTAAAAAGCAGGGACACCACCCTGCCAACAAAAGTGAGTATAGTCAAGGCTATGGTTTTCCCAGTTGCAATGTCTGGCTGTGAAAGTTGGACCATAAGAAAGGTTGAGCACCAAAAAATTGAGGCCTTTGAACTATGGTGCTGGAGAAGACTCCTGCGAGTCCCTTGGACTGCAAGGCAATCAAACCGGTCAGTCCTACAGGAGATCAACCCTGACTGCTCTTTAGAAGGCCAGATCCTGAAGAGAAAACTCAAATCCTTTGACCACCTAATGAGACGGAAGGACTCACTGGAGAAGAGCCTAATGCTGGGAACGATTGAGGGCAAAAGAAGAAGGGGACGGCAGAGAGTGAGGTGGCTGGATGGAGTCACTGAAGCAGTTGGCGGGAGCTTAAATGACTCCAGAGGATGGTAGAGGACAGGAAGGCTTGGAGGAACATTGTCCATGGGGTCGTGATGGGTCGGACATGACTTCGCTACTAGCAACAACAACAAATTATATTTACTGAGATTTATTATGGGCATCCATTCCAAAAGAAGTGTTCAGGCTGCTACATTTTCAACCATTCATTTAACCTAACCCTTTCTTATTTTGAATGTACTGTATAAGATTGTGAGTTTCTATCTCTTTTTATTCCAAGGCATTTGAAATAAATATGTATTTAACACAATATCATAAGGTATCAGTTTTGGATTGGTTAGGTTTGTTTGAAATTTAGTATTTTTGGATTTTTTAAAAATCTGTACATATAATGTTACTTCAAAAAGTTTTTCTGCTGACTCTCTGTCCATCTGACTCTCTATCCATCCAACTATTTCTATTGCAACTTATCATCATATTATTAACTTAATGATACAGAAAATTTAGTGAAACAAAATGTATTCTTCCTGCTACCTCATCATTTATTCAAAGTGTATCCTGTCTTATTACCATAATCAAGAATGATTTGATCTGATAAATGAGAAGTATGCATTTTACATGCGGACATGTGATGTGACACCCAGAAAAATATAGCATACTTCACTTAATCCTCCAAGGAAAGATTAAAGGCAAACGAGGTCCAGGCAGAAGAAAAACATCATGGCTTCAAAATCTAAGAGACTAGTTTGGACAAAACTCGGCAGCACTTTTTCGTGCGGCTGTTGATAAAAATAGGATTGTCAACATGATTGCCAACAACTGATGATAAGTATGGCACAAGAAGAAGGAGATTTTACATGGAAACTAAAAGTGAAATTTAGCCCAAATCGTAGAAGATGTAGAGCCCTTTTGTGATGACCCAGGGTATGACACAAAGGCAACATAGCCAGAGAACCAATATGAGTCCCTTTATTATCACCAACTGTGCCCCCAATGTCCCTATCAATTGTCTGGCCTGGAGAGATTTCTTCCACCAACCTGTAATAGTCTTTGGCTGCCAATACTTCAGTCCCAAACGTTGTAAGCAGAAAACGTCCAACTAAAAATCCAACAAGGCAAGACAATGTAATTATTCCAGCAGGCCAAGCAAAATAGGGAATTCCAGAAGTGAAGTAGCACGGCAGTAAATCAAACCAGTTGGGAGGATGCCAGGAACTCAGATAAACACCAGATGAATTCAGTGTTTGTTCCTGACAACCGCCTCTCCCATTTGCCTCTCTTTTTAAACTCCATCAGCAGCTGTGCCTTGTAAAGAGGATCGGGTCCCTTTCCTCCCTCGTAAGCCATGCAACCCACGTTGCTCTCTTCTCCGTTCCTCCCTGCGCTGCCTAGGATGAGGAGGGGTGGGCCTTGGTCTTCATCTGAACCCCCTCTCCCTTGTTCTACCTCTCCCCAGCTCTGCCCAGCCTGACTTTGCACTTCCCCAGTTTCTTCCACAGCCAACAAATCCACTCTCTCACTCTCTGTCAACTGTTCCTCTTCCCCTTCAGATTCAGACCCCGGCAGGGGCATGACACTTTTCTTATAGAAGGAAGTGTCGGTTTTGGAAGACAATTTTTTTTGCTTCTTTTTGCTTCTGCCACATATTTTAGCTGGGGAAGTTGGGAGGGGGTTGTTGTTGGAGCAGTAGAAAGTTAGTCATAACAACATTCCGTACTCAAGGACTTTTGCCTGCGTCTGATGGAGACTGCCTGAAGATTGTATCCAGTTGAGTGTGAAGAGTTGATTGGACAATGTGATGAATTTGTGGGTGTGGGGCAGGGCTGTGAACTCTTAGCTGGGTGGGGGAAACCTGGAAGCTTTCAGATTCGGGTTTTCCCAGATGTGCCAACATGACATTTCTAATAAATTGGAACTTTGAGGAACTTCAGGCCTCAGAGATTTATTTTGTTGGGGGTCTTCACAGCTGTCTTAAAGCAAGCAAAAAAAAACCCGGTGTCCTTTAAGTTTAGTTTCTGGAAAATATGAATGATGTGGCAACAGTAGAGAGGAATTCTTCCAAATGAATACCCCAAATGACATTTAGGCACTATATGAATGACAAATAAATGAATAGGTTATCCCAGATTTTATTTTTCATTCCAAATTCAAATAAATCTGCCACAATAACTGAATACCTTTAAGTGGGTTGGTTCAAATGATAATTGATTGATTAGGCATGTTGCCCTATATTATATATGTGTGTGTGTGTGTGTGTGTGTGTGTGTGTGTGTGTGTTCCAGCATGACTCTGGAACGCCTCGAGCAATTTCAACCAAACTTGGTACACAGATGACTTACTCTCTGGAAAAAAAATATTGTGGGTGTGAGACACCCCTAACACCCTTCGGGGTATGTGTTCTGCTAAGATACAGCCTGTTGTGCCTTAGAATGGCTTCTATTGTACTGCCTTAAAATGGCTTCTACTGTGCAGCACAGTGGAGTTGCCATGGTAACGGCTTCACAGTACTCCACAAGGGGGCTCTCTCCGGTAAGGGGGAAAATCCAAGATTATAAATTATGTTTGGTCTGGATATTTTCAACAAGGCTTTGATTATTCTTGAGAACAAATATATGGCCATGATCAACAAAACATTACTGCAACTCAGCCTCCCTGCACCACTACGAGACCAACCCGATGTACTTCATGCAGATTACATATGAGAAAAGAACTACAACGTCGAACAGCTTAGTGCATATATCGCAGACAAGAAGTGACTTCTAAATCAAGATCAGAAATAAAGCATACCAAATGATCATGGATCATCTAGCAAAACGACAAGGTGGTATCAGTTTAGTTGACACTTCTGGGGCTACAGGGAAAACATTTTTAACTAATTTAATTCTCGCCAAAATCAGGGCTCAGGGTGAAGTTGCTCTTCCTGTCTAATACAGGATTGGGATAAATAAATACCCGAGCAATGCTGGGTTATCAACGAGTTTCATATAAAATCAGAAACAATCCTATTTTAGTATACAAAGGTAGGTCATTGTTTTATGGTAATAAAAGACTTCTCATCTTTTACTTCTTATCAGCTGTTCCTTGGTGTTCAGTTCAGACTTTAGAAGAATGATGTAGCATTTGGGGGAAAAGATACAACCCAACACCCCAGCACTGGAAGCTAAGATGGAGAAGATCTCCACAGCTACCATATACTTTCCTTTGGTGCTCAAATACGTTGGAATAAAAGACAACCAAACACTGCAAAACACCAACATGCTAAAAGTGATAAATTTGGCTTCATTGAAAGTATCTGGCAACTTCCTGGCAAGGAAAGCCACCATAAAGCTGATAAGGGATAGGAAACCCATATAACCCAAGACAAGATAAAACATATTGGTGGTTCCTTCATTACATTCTACTACAATTTCCCCCGGGACTGAGTATATATCTAAATTTGGGATTGGAGGTGTGGTTGCCACCCATACAATACAAATGACTGCTTGAACCAGAGAGCAAGAAATGACAATAGAGTTGGATAGTCTTTTCCCCATGTATGTCCTCATCTTGGATCCTGGCTTGGTGGCCATAAATGCTACCACCACCGTGATAGTCTTGGCCAATACAGAAGAAACTGCGACGGAGAAGATAATGCCAAAAACAGATTGTCGGAGAAAGCAAGTCGCTTTCCTTGGTTGTCCAATAAAGAGCAAAGAAGACAAGAAGCAAACAAGAAGGGAGACAAGGAGAAGGTAGGTGAGATCTCGGTTGTTGGCTTTGACAATAGGTGTATCTCGGTGCTTAATGAATGTTCCCAACACCAACGCTGTGATCAAAGAAAAGGAAACAGCCACTGACATTAAACCGATTCCTAAAGGTTCATCATAAGAAAGAAAGCTTATTGTTTTGGGGATGCATCCATCCTTATTCTTGGTAGCATACTGATCTTCTGGGCATTCGATACAATCAATCATATCTGAAAAAGAAAAGAAAATGAAATATTGGATGGATTTATTACACCTAATCGTAAACCACTTCTATTTGGACCTTGATGGGAAGATAGACTTACTGTGGAGACTGAAACTATCATTGGACAACAGTTGATAAGATATTGCATTAAGAAACAAACATGGATATTTGATCCAGGGCAAACTAGTTTTAATTTTTTAGGGTGATTTGGGATCGATAAGATGCCGTAGTAAACTTTCTATGAGTGGATTACAATAACAGTTTGTTAATAGAGAGTTTTGAAACTTTAATCTTGTTTTGTTTTCTAAATAGATGTTATATTTCTAGATATACAGAAATATATATATTTCTGTATATCTAGAAGTAAAGGAGAAACAACTCTGTTTAACAATGGAAGGATCTATCTACAGATGTTATTGGTTCTCCATTGCTGAAGGTTTTTAAAAAGCGATTGGACAACCTCCTTTCAAATTTGTTTCATTGTTTGCATTGCACATTGCAGAGGGTTGGATTAGAGCAACATTATGGCCCCATCCAGCTTCACAATTTTCTAAATCTAAGATTCTATCATTGTGTGAATTAATACATGTATCAGCTGACTACAGAGATACACATAAAGCAGAGCTGGTATTCAGCCGGTTTGGACTGGTTCACATGAACCAATTGCGGAAATCACAGGTGGGCCTGCCCACCTGCCTCAGCTCTATGCCATCCTATTTAGGCATGTTTTTGAGGCTGGGAGCATGCCCAGAAGGGACATATATGAGCAAAGCACATATATGGAAGGCCAGGCACATGTGCAGAAAGCAGGCACATGTGCAAACCGGGCACACGCATGCACGAAGCAAGCGTGTGCACACAGGGTGAACCGGTAGTAACATAATGTGAAACCCATCATTGGCATAAAGCATGGGAGAGTGGGATTTTTTTTTCATTTAGTTTTCTTTTTCTTTCTTCCCTTTGATTTGATGTTAGGTAACATCTAAGGTCTAGGGCAGGGGTCCTCAAACTACAGCCTGCAGGCCAGATATGGCCTGCTGAAGGCATTAATCCAGCCCACACGGGACCACAAGGCTGCCCCACCCACATCACCCCACCTACCTACTGGCCCCCACCCACCTTCTGGAGGCCGAAGAGGCCAAAAATGGATCTGTTTTTGGGCAGCAGAATAGTATTCCCCGGCCTCCAGAGAGAGAGAAAGAGGGGTGGAGGGAGAGGGAGGGAGGGAGGGAGAGAGAGAGAGAGAGAGAGAGAGAGAGAAAGAAAGAGAGAGAGAAACACACACACAAATGGAAGTCCCTCACACATACCCACAAGGCAGCCACATCCCTTCACTAACCTACATTCCACCTCCAGGAACATAACAAATTAAACTGTAATTTGTGTGTATTGTTTAATGGACTGTTAAATTGGCCAGGCACACCCAGTCACATGACCGCCTAGCCACACCCACCCAGCAGGGGTGAAATGCTCCTGGTTCAGACTGGATTGCCCGATCTAGTAGCGATGGAGGCGGGTGGTTCAGAGAACCGGTAGCAAAAATTCCTGCGCCCCTCCCACCATGCCCAGCTGAGCCGCACGATCATCAGAGGCTTTTTTTTTTTACTTTTAAAAGCATTTTTTTGGCGGAAGAGGTTGTAAAAAAAATGCTTTTAAAAGTAAAAAAAAAAAGCCTCTGATGATCGCCCAGCTCAGCTGGGATCGTCAGAGGCTTTTCAAAGCATTTTTTTCTGCAACCTCTTCGGCCAAAGCAGTTGTAGGGGGAAAAATGCCTTTAAAAGCCTCTCTGACAATCCCAGCTGAGTTGCCTGATCATCAGAGGCTTTTCAAAGCATTTTTTTTGCAACCTCTTCGGCCAAAGAGGTTGTAGAAAAAATGCATTGAAAAGTTAAAAAAAAAAGTTGGGCATTGCCCACCCAGTCACATTAACCCCCCCACACCAAGCCACGCCCACAGAACCGATAGTAACAAATTTTACATTTCACCCCTGCCACCAAGGTACATGATCACCTAGCCACATCCACCCAGCTGGTCCGGCCCTCCAACAGTCTGAGGGACCTTGAACGGACCCCCTATTTAAAAAGCTTGAGGACCCCTGGTTTAGGGGATCTCATGAATGCAAGAACAAGGGGACAGTTGTTACTTCTTTATTTGAAATAATGCTGCAGGTAGTGCTGTGGAATATAATGCATTGCCTACCCTTCAACTTTGAGATCTTCCCTTCTGGGCACGGTGAACAGTCATAACAGCAGAATTTATCCTTCTCTCTTTTTTTCTTCTGGTAACCTGGAAGGCAAGACTCAGTACATACAGAAACTGGTTGTACCTGCCACATAGGAAAAAAAAGCAGCAACGGGTTTTAGGAGAAACAAACCAAGAAAATATGCCACAGAATTTAGGTTTTCACAGCTACTATTTACAAATGAAATGACATCTGGGTAGTCATGGGATAGTAAAATATGAGGCCATCTTCACTGTCTCACACAGCATTTCCCCCTTCAGCAATTGATATGAAGGAATAGAATAGGAATAGGAATAGGAATAGGAATAGGAATAGGAATAGAATAGAATAGAATAGAATAGAATAGAATAGAATAGAATAGAATTCTTTATTGGCCAAGTGTGATTGGACACACAAGGAATTTGTCTTTGGTGCATAACCTCTCAATGTACATAAAGGAAAAGATAGGTTCATCAAGAATCATAAGGTGCAACACTTAATGATAGTCATAGGGTACAAATAAGCAATCAAATCATATTAGCAAACAGTCAATATAAATCGTAAGGATACAAGCAACAAAGTTACAGTCATACAATCATAATTGGAAGGAGGTGGGTGATAGGAATTATGAGAAGATTAATAGTAATGCAGACTTAGTGAATCGTTTGACAGTGTTGAGGGAATTATTTGTTTAGCAGAGTGATGGCGTTTGGGAAAAAACTGTCCTTGTGTCTAGTTGTTCTGGTGTTCAGTGCTCTATAGCGTCGTTTTGAGGGTAGGAGTTGAAACAATTTATGTCCAGGATGCGAGAGGTCTGTAGATATTTTCACAGCCCGCTTTTTGACGCGTGCAGTATACAGGTCCTCAATGGAAGACAGGTTGGTAGGAATTGTTTTTTTCTGCAGAACATCACGGATTGCTATTATTTTTATAATCTAGTGTCAACTCTGAAGTGAACCTGTCTGGGACCATTTTGGAGGTTTCAGGGTTGCCACAATGCAAAGATGGGATAGGGAGGGGGAACATAGTTAGATGGGGTTTTTGTAGCCAAAACAAAATAGTTTCCTGTGGGAACCAAGGACATTCCAACAGGTGGCTGGAGAGAGGTGGAATCTGGTTACCAGGCGACCAGCCAGTACCCTGATTGGACAATGCGACTGGTTGTTTGGGGAAAGGGGAAACTTTCACTTTTTAATCAGGTGAAAACCGCTGGAAATTTCAGAATCGGTTTTCACAAGTTTATGCCAATATGATATCTCCAATAAAATTGTTCTTTGAGGAATCTGCCTGCCTCGGAGTTCTGCTGTCTATTGAGTTATTACTTGGAACCCTGATATACAGTTAATAAAAATCTGGAGCTCAAATGAATGAATTAATGAATTAATCAATCAATCAATCAATCAATCAAATCAATTGACTCAATCCAAAATTTATAAAATGAAGAGATGAGTAGTGATATTCCTTGGTGATGTTAATGACATTGTTTCTTCTAACTCAATCAAAGTTTAATTACTGTAAGTTATGGAAAATGCAATGAAACTATCTATTTATCAATCTAAATTTAAGAACAGCTTCCATATATACTGTATATATTAAATATTATACAACAAGATACTGTAAATATAAATAATGAAACTAGACCATGAAAAACTAGACAGAAGGAAAGTTGAGTTATTTTAACTATGATGCTGGTGATGTCAGCATTCTGATGCTGCCATAAAAAGGAGGAGACGAGACTTGACTTTTCAACTTCTTATTTTCTCTGTAGATAATATCCCCTAGGAGATGGGATGGGAGGGGACATTCCTGTGGGCTGAGGTCAGAAGCTGGGGAGACTGACTTGGAAGATGGCCAATGAGAAGATGAGAATTGGGGAACGGAAAGGGAAGGGTTTGGGGGTCAGAGGGTTAGTATCGGCTACGACGAAGTCGGGCCAGATCTGTCGTACTCAATAAATGGAATATTTCAGCAAAGATTAATTGTTTGGGAGTGCAATTTATTTGAGATGACATCGAAACCTGACAGGTGAAGGCTCCCACACATCCCTTGGACAGCAAAGGAGACAAAGAAGCAAGAATGGGAATGTGTAAAACCAGACATATGGTTCAAAAGCGAAATCACAAAATTCTGCTTACTTATTTCGGCCACATCACTCAATCAAACTTACTAGCTATTATGGTTGGAATGGGCAATAGTAAAAGGAAATGAGGCTTCTGTAAACCATGGTATTTAGACACCATCAAAGCAGACACTGGCCAGACCATGAGACAGTTGAAATAAGGTGTAAAAAATTAGAAACTGTGGAGAGATCCGCTCCATAAAATCACCAAGAATCAAATATGTTTGAACAGATAAAAACTTCAAATAGAAACATGTAGAACATGGTTTCCAAAATGTACCAAAATTGCAGAGATGGAAGGGACCTTGGAGGTCTTCTAGTCCAACCACCTCCTCAAACAGGAAACCCTATATCATTCTAGACAAATGATTGTCCAATCTCTTCTTAAAACCCTCTTGTGTTGGGGCACCCACAACTTCTGGAGGCAAGTCATTCTAATGATTAATTGTTGTAACCATCAGGAATTTTCCCCCATAATTCTAGGTTGCTTCTCTCCTTGATTATTTTCCAATCCATTGCTTCTTGTCCTGCCTTCAAGTGCTTTGGAGAATAGGTTGACCTATTTACTTGCACCAGTAAATACTGTAAATCAGGAAAGTCAGAAGTTAAACACTTATCTATATTATTTTTAGAAGTGTTTTTCTATTCTTGTTTCTTTTTTTCAATTACCATTTATAAAGGACCAGGGGAGACATCATAGCAGTGTTCCAATACTTGAGGGGCTGCCACAGAGAGGACAGGGTCAAGCTATTTTCCAAGGCACCTGAAGGCCAGACAAGGAATAATGGATGGAAACTGACCAAGGAGAGATTCAACCTAGAAATAAGGAGAAATTTTCTGACAGTGAGAGCAATCAATCCATGGAACAGAAGTTGCCTTCAGAAGTTGTGGGAGCTTCATCAATGGAGGCTTTCAAGAAGAGATTGGACTGTCATTGTCTGAAATGGTATAGGGTCTCCTGCTTGAGCAGGGTCCTGGACTAGAAGACCTCCAAGATCCCTTCCAGCTCTATTCTGACTGATTGATAGTTTCAAACTCAACTCAATGGTACCTACCTAATTTTTATGGAAAGAAATTGTCACACATAATGGGGTCAGCCCATTCAGAAAAAGCAAATGTTTAGTTACAGGTCTGAAGATGAAAAAAAAAAAATTCTGAAAATGAATCATAGATCATACCTGATTATAACGCTGGGGCCACATAATTTTTGAGTCATCAAGATTGAGTTTTTTCCCTTCAGGATCCATTGTTCCAATCTGCACTTTAGCAAAAGAGTTGTTTGGGAAGGTGATTAAGTTTATGATATCAAATCCACTGCCCACCTCCTTCTTTCCATTGAAGTACACCGTTTCTCCAGCGGAATTGTTAAACGCAATAGATTGAAGAACTGGGTGGAGCTACATCCAACATACAGAGGGAGACACAGAGAAAGGAAAACAATGCACTGGAAATTCAACTGGAATTATTTCCAAATGCATCTCCTTCCTGTTCTGCAATGTGTGAATCTTCAATCTACAATGTGCAATTTCTCAAAAGACACAACAGACCAACAACTGTGCTAGACAGACAGACAGATCATTTTTAAAGAGATGATAGAGATAGGTAGGCACTGTGATGACCCGGGGTGTGACACAAAGGCAACACAGCCAGAGAACTGGTATGAGTCCCTTTATTGGCACCAACTTTGCCCCCAATGTCCTGTTTACTCTCCAGTCTGGAGAAAAACTCTCCTACAAACCTGCAGCAGCTTCTGGCAGCAGATACTCCAGTCCAAATGCTATAAGCAGAATGACTGCAATCAGTCACTCCAGCAGGGCAAGATAAGGAGTCCCAGAAGCGAAGAATAATTCCAGCAAGACAAAATAAGCACACAGAAGCATGGCACTAATTCAGTCAGGAGGAATGCCAGGAATGCAGGCCACAATTCTCAACTCTAGATGAATTCAGTGTTTGTTCCTGACAAACGCCCTTCCCAACTGCCTCTCCTTTAAACTCCATCCCCAGGTGTGCCTTGTGAAGGGAATCGGGGCCCTTTCCTTTCTTGTAAGTCACACAACCCACGTTGCTCTCTTCTGCGTTCTTCCCTGAGCACCAGTGGTGAAATCCAAAGTTTTTTTATTACCAGTTCTGTGGGTGTGGCTTGGTGGGCGTGGTGTGGTGTGGCTTGGTGGGCATGGCTTGGTGGGTGTGGCAGGGGAAGGATACTGCAAAATTTCCATTCCCACCCCACTCCAGGGGAAGGATACTGCAAAATATCCATTCCCTCCCCACTCCTGGGGGAAGTATATTGCAAAATCTCTATTCCCACCTCTATTCTGGGGCCAGCCAGAAGTGGTATTTGCCAATTCTCTAAATTACTCAAAATTTCCGCTACTGGTTCTCTGAACTGCTCAAAATTTCCGCTACCAGTTCTCCAGAATCTGTCAGAACCCCTGCTGCACACCCTAGGATGAGGAGGGGGTGGGTCTTGGTCTTCATCTGAACCCCCTCTCCCTTTTCTACCTCTCCCCTGCTCTGTCCAGCCTGACTTTGCCCTTCCCCAGTTTCCTCCACAGCCAACGGAGCCACTCTCCTGCTCTCTCTCAGCTGTTCATCTTCCATCTCAGACTCACACTCCGATGGGGGCATGACAGGCACAAAGACAGATAGGTTGATAATGATATTTGGTATCTGGGTTAACCTTATTGGTTAAAGATGCAGAGAATGGTTAAGGGTGCAGAAAATGATGAGAGGACATAAATCACAAGTACAAAAGGACTGTAGTTTGGTTTTGTAATCATAGGGTTTTTTGCAGGATCTTCTACACATGCACAGAGTGTCAAAAATGGGATGTGATGATGTCTGGGCGGGTGGACGGAGCCTCCCAAAGCTGCCACTACCGATTTGCCCGAACTGGATAGAACTGGCTGAACAGCACCACTGAAACAATTGTATTCACTCACGACAGAGATAAGATGGATGATGTCTCAGTCTGTACTCATCTTTTTTATGATGGAAAGAGAGCCCCTCAGACATTACCTGCCAAGGCTGAAGACTTTGTAGTTTGGTTTTTTTCATACCGCTCTTGGATCTGAGTTTGGACCTAAATAACTCCATGGAATGCAACGAATGTGCGATAGCATAGACCGCATTGTAGATGCTATAGCTGTGACCGGTCATGCGAACTTCAAACAGAGATCTGGGAAGTTTCTTCAAGCTCTCTTCCCAAGAACATACTTCTGTGGCCTCCGTTGGTATCTTTGGACATTGAAATGAACAGTCCAAAGCTTGCTCCGAGAAGACATTCAGAAAATCATTTCTTCCAGTCTGACACGGGTCTAGGGCCAGAAGAAATTTCTGGAACTTGGGCAGTTGATGGGAGTGAATAGCAAAAGCAATAGCTCCTTGAAACACTTGCAAATCGGAGCCCATCTGAATTCTGGACATTGCAAAATCAATCTGGGCAGTCATAATCCATACCCTTTGAAAGAATACATCTGAACTATTACCATGAGTTGCTTGTAGCATAAAATTGCTCAGCAACATAATGGACAAGGTATCTCCATAAACAACCATTGCATTCACCTTGACGTTAGTCATCGGTAGGTAAATATTCCAGACTTTCCTATTAATGGTTGGGAGATCATCCAACTCTGCTTTGGGGATTTTTGCGGTGAATGCTGAACAGATCCCATTTTGGGAAAGCAGCGGTTCGAACACCTGCATGAAATGTTCTCCACTGTCATTGTCAACGATGAAGAACCCAATCCATGTCCATCCAAAATGGTGAAGGAGACGGATGATTCCCATGTACTGACTGGCTTCATTTGGAACCATTCGGTATAGAGTTGGGTGCTGGGTAATGTAGCTCTTCTCCGGAGCAAATGAGCCATAACTAAGCTGGAAGGAAGGGATGAATAAATCAACATGCAAGAAGGTTTTTATGCAATTGTCAGAGTAAAAAAAAATATGTATCTCGGTCTACATAACCCCAAAGATAAACATCTATTTTCCTTCTGCTTGAATGTTTCTGCATGTTTATATATATATATATATATATGTCTATGTAAGTTTTCACGGGTATATATGTGTGTACAGTTAATATTTCGGGTTTCTTCCCGTGTACTTGTGAACATATCCCTTAAAGGGTAGAAGCGACGTTTCGACAGAATCTCATCTGCCATCATCAGGCTTATGTGAAGGGTCTTTTGCTGTAACTGCCGTTACTATTTCAAATCTGGTGCTGGTAGTCTGGGATGGCTCCACCTTTTCATTCTGATTGGTTGGGAGTCTCCGTTTGTGTTTATTGGCTTGGCCAATAAACACAAACTGAGACTCCCAACCAATCAGAATTATCTTGCTTTGCATGTAATGAGTCTATCTCATATATTAGTTTCACCTTTTAAGTTGCATTACTGAAATAAATGAACTTTTGCATGATATTCTAATTTTTTGAGTTTATATATATATATATATATGTGTGTGTGTGTGTGTGTGTGTGTGTGTGTGTCTTTGGTTATTCGGGTTTTCTCCCACGTAAAATTGGAAGTGCCTTGGCGACGTTTCGACGAAGTCTCATTCGTTATCTTCAGGCTGGTGTTTTCAGCTTCGTGCTCCTAGAAGCACGAAGCCGAAAACACCAGCCTGAAGATGACGAATGAGACTTCGTCGAAACGTCTTCCAATTTTACGTGGGAAAAACCCGAATAACCAAAGACCTACATACAAACACCTGCGAAAACCTCAGAAAACATATATATGTATATATATATTATATATATTATTTTTCAAAATATAAACATTCCATCTTTTCTTAAACAGTGTGTCAGCTGGGTACAAATATCTCTGTGCAACAATGTTCAGCATTTAGAAATAGAAATAGAATAATAGAGTTGGAAGGGACCTTGGAGGTCTTCTAGTCCTACCCCCTGCCCAGGCAGGAAACTCTATACAACATCATACACAATTTACAACATCATTCACATTAATATTAATTCTCTAATCTTAAAATTATTATTGAGTCTGTCATCTGCACCTCTAGAACTGTCTGGTTTGGTGCCGCAACCCAACAAAACAGACACAGACTTCAGAGGACAATTAGAACTGCAGAAAAAACAATGGCTACCAACCTTCCTTCCACTGAGGACCTGTATACTGCATGAGTCAAAGAGAGGGCTGTGAAAATATTTACAAACACCTCACATCCTGGACATAAACTGTTTCAACTCCTACTCTCAAAACGATGCTATAGAGCACTGCACACCAAAACAACTAGACACCAGAACACTTTTCTCCTGAACGCTCTCACTCTGCTAAACAAATAATTCCCTTAACACTGTCAAACTATTCATCAAATCTGCATTACTACTATTAATCTTCTCATCGCTCCTATCACCCATCTCCTTCCAATTATGACTCCATGACTGTAACTTTGTTGCTTTTATCCTTACGATTTATATTGACTGTTTGCTAATATGATTTGATTGCTTATTTGTACCCTATGACTATCATTAAGTGTTGAACCTTATGATTCTTGATGAACGTATATTTTCTTTTAGGTACACTGAGAGCGTATGCACCAAAGACAAATTCCTTGTGTGTCCAATCACAGTTGGCCAATAAAAAAATTCTATTCTATTCTATTCTATTCTATTCTATTCTATTCTATTCTATTGAACATTATAAGCCTATTCATTTTTCCTCTTAACATGTCTTCTAGTAAGAATACAATAATGATAACATTAAGCATAATTATCCTCATCATCATAATACTAACAATTATAATCTTATTTATATCTCTCTCTTAACGTATTTTCTATTCTTCTTTAATCTTCTCCTTTTATTTCCAGTTTCCCTTTTTATTCTCTAACCATTGATAAAATACTTCCCATATCATATAATATTCAGTTTGTTCTTTCTCCTTAATTGCTAGTGTTAATCTGTTCATTTCTGCACATTCTATTTTCCTAATCACCTTCCCATCAATAGAAATCTCTTCAATTTTCCAATGTTGTGCAAATACAATTCTAGCTGCAGTTAGAACATGGTTAATTAAATAAGTGTTCTCTTTATTATAACTTTCAGATAAGATCCCCAACAAAAATATTTCTGGTTTTAGCTCAATACGTTGTTTTATCATCTTTTCCAATCATGTCTTTATTTTCATCCAATATTTTTTTTTGCTTCTACACATGTCCACCACATATGATAGTAAGATCCAAGTATCTGGTGGCACTTCCAACATTTAGCTGACTTATCTTTAAACATCTTTGCCAACCTCACTAGTGCAAGGTGCCACCTATAAAGCATTTTATACTAGTTCTCTTTATTTGTAGTCAACATTGTTAATTTATAATTCCTATTCCACAGTTTCTGCCACTTATCTAATTCTATCGTGTAACCAAAATTTCCTGCATGTTAAAAAAAATTATGATTTCCTGCAACAAGTATCTTGCAAAGAGGTATAAAGGTAAAGTTCCCCTAGCACATATGTGCTAGTCGTTCCCGATTCTAGGGGGCGGTGCTCATCTCCTTTTCAAAGCCAAAGAGCCAGCGCTGTCCGAAGATGTCTCCGTGGTCATGTGGCCGGCATGACACAACGCCAAAGGCTCATGGAACGCTGTTACCTTCCTACCAAAGGTGGTCCCTATTTTTCTACTTGCATTTTTTATGTGCTATCGAACTGCTAGGTTGGCAGAAGCTGGGACAAGTAACAGAAGCTCACCCCGTTACGCAGCACTAGGGATTTGAACCACCGAACTGCTGACCTTTTGATCAACAAGCTCAGCATCTTAGCCACTGAGCCACCACTCGACTACAAAGAGGTATACTAGTGGTAATTCATTAGAAAAAGTCAGAGAAGAGCAACTAAGATGATTAAAGGCCTGGAAAGTAAAACATATGAAGAACGGTTGCAGGATTTGAGTATGGCTACTCTAGAGAAAAGAAGGATTAAGGGAGACAGGATAGCAGCATTCCAGTATTTGAGGGGCTGCCATAAAGAAGAGTGGGTTAACCTATTTTCCAAAGCACCAGAGGGCAGGACAAGAAACAACAGATGGAAACTAATCAAGGAGAGAAGCAACCTAGAACTAAGGAGAAACTGCCTAACAGTGAGGACTATTAACCAGTGGAACAGCTTGCCACCAGAAGTTGTGGGTGCTTCATCACTGGAGATTTTTAAGAAGAGACTGGACAGCCACTTGTCTGGAATGGTATAGGATCTCCTGCTTGAGCAAGGGGTTGGGCTAGAAGATCTCCAAGATCCCTTGCAGCTTTTTTATGACACAATTTTAGTATTAGGCTCTTATCCCTTTTCCCGTTTTGGGGAAACATTCCTGTCCATCTATAATCCATTTATGAACTGCAAAATCAAAGTAAGAAGAAAAACGATCATAACTTATACAGGAGTGGCCAAAATTGTGGAAACCTTTTGGGAAAAGTGTATTTTCTAAAACTAGCTAATAACACCACTTTTTTTGGAGTAGTACCATAAAATTATATATCAATGGAAAGATAATTTAATCAAGAATGCAATGCAATAACTTTTATGAAGGATTTGCTATTAGAATAGAAGTTACAGTATAAAGAAGAAAAGTGAAATGAGATATACAAAAATTATCATGTCAGTTAATCCTTAGTTGGGTAACCTTTAGCATGAATTACGGCCTTACAACGTCTTCCCATGGAGTGAACCAAGTCTTTGAGTTCTGCAGCTGTTATAATGTGAAACCAAGATTGAACAATGGCTTCTATTAACTGGGTTTTATTGCTGGGTCCCTTCTGACTAACAAGTTTCTTTAGTCGGCTCCATAGATTTTCAATTGGGTGAAGGTCTGGGCTGTTCCCAGGCCATTACAGCAGTGGAATAGGATTATCCTGAAAATCCCCCCCCAAAAAAGTGATGTTATTAACCATCAGAACTGAAAAATACACGTTTCCCAAAAGGTTTCAAATTTTGGCCACTACTGTACAGATCTCCATTATTCCATGAGCAGATCTTACCTGTGGAACCTTATAAAGACTTAAAAGTTTTGCCATATGGAATGAGACAGTGGAACCAAGTCCGCCAATAACAGCAATCAGCTTTTTCCCAGAACCACATTCATAGTTAGGTATAACTTGGTGCATTTTGAAAAGAAGGTCCAGAGTAGTCCGATAGGTCTTCATTGCGTCGCTGTAGCTGTCACAGATATGGAACCCAAGCGTGATATTGGGTAAGATCTTGGAATCCTCGTTGATTTCATTTATGGCAAATGCCAAGGCCAGGATGTGTTGGTAGAACTTGGTCACCATGCTGCCAATAAAGTGATAAGTTCATTGACTGGCAGATGCCACAAAGCAAATTGTCCCAGCATAGAAAAAATGCTACAGTACTGATTAAATTCATTGCAAGCAACAGTCATGGTTTTTCATTACTGATGGAAAGAGGGAATAACAGAATGACAGAGTTGAAAAGGATTTTGGAGATCTTCTAGTCCAATGTCCTTCTTGGGCAGAAAAAACTGTAGGTTCATGATAAGCTTTGGCAAAACAACTGTGGTTCAAACTTACTGTAGATAACATCACAAGTTGAAGACAACTTTTAGTCATTAAAACAGATAATGGACTCATTTGAAGACCTTCTCACTCAGAAGGGACCTTGAAAGTCTTCTACTCCAATGCTCTACTCATGCAAAAGCAACCATTTCAGACAAATGGTAGTCCAATCTCTTCTTAAAAACCTCCACCCACAACTTCTGGAGGCAAGTTGTTCCACTGATTAATTGTTCTAACTGTCAGGAAGTTTCTCTTTAGTTCTAGGTTGCTTTTCTCCTTGATCAGTTTCCACCCATTCCT